TTTAGTTAACTGATTTGATTTATGATCGGCATAAGGATTTGGGTATCAAATCTTTGCTTGATTATGCCGAGCACTAGTGATAATTTACCAACTACACTAAATTGACACATTCATATTTAATATTTTTTATCTAATAATTGTTTAATAATTTGTTTAGTACTTATATTAGTTATTATCACTGATTAAAATGAAATCTGATTAAAATGAAATTTTTGTTTTTTAAGGAAAATTTAAAATTTTTGGAGACATTTTTTGGGGTTCTTTTTAGCATTAAGAGTAGGGTTTAGGGTTAGGTTTATTAATAAATAAGTATATGTAGGTTTTATAGGCTCTAAGGGTAGGCATGAGAGGTCACTAGTTTCTTTTTGATCAGATTTTATTTTAATCTGTGACAGTTATTTATAATATTAAAATTAATCAATTAGATTACTTTAAGCTATATATATTTATTTGTCTATTGTTTAATAGCTTGATTAAACTATTAAACTGTCTATTGAATCTATTGTTTGTTTATTGTTTATTTGCAACTTACATGCAAATAACTTTTTGTATAACCAAAAATATTAAAATTTGATTATATCACTTTTGGAACTTTAAAAAAATTTTTTTTGCTAAATTTTACTATAAATTTTACTTAACTCTAATTTTAAATCTTTACTCTATTCTAATAATAAAGAAATTAAATAATTGGTTTGATTTACATATTACACAAACTTAAAGATCATGTATATGTTATATAGAAGCATTGTATAATAATTGAAAAATTATAGTAATTTGAAAAATTAAAACATGTCGAATATAGCCTTCTAGCACCATACTATCTCTAACATTAACAAACTTTAAATTTTTTCTGTGCTACAAACCTGGTACATATGCAAAAACACCATTCCTGATAGATCATTGGTACTGTTACACCTTAAAATTACCTCTTATAAGTTTGGTATAATGATTCTACTTTAGCTACAGATATGTTAGACAATTGATAACAATACCGTGTTTATACTTAAGTAAAATATATGGTTTATTGCATTTACGCTTTAAGAGGATTCAAGTGATTTGCAGTTATGAAAGAGGCAAACGACTAAATATATATGAAGATATAAGTAGATGTATTAATAGGAGTTTACTCTTTATTACTTTGTTATATGAGAAACTAATGATTCGAGAGAAAATAACAGAGCTATTTATACATGTTTTTGGAATGGAAAATATTATATATCAATTATACTAGATCTATTCTATGGATTAATTGATGTGTAAGTGAATATAACTAATACATATGAAGAACTAATAACAGTGAAGTAAATAATAGAACAGCTAGAACTAGTAGAATTGGTAGAATTGGTAGAATTGATAGAATTGATAGAACTAATAAAACTAGTAGAACTAATAAAACTAGTAGAACTGATAGAACTAGTAGAAATAGTAGAATTCTTGGTGCATATGTTATATGGTCATGCATTTTGTATATCATTAATTACGTGAAATTAAAGACGGTCATAATTGACAATTTTTAGGTCTAACATTTCTACCCCCTTTAATTATGAGCTCTGTGAATAATCAATTGTAGCTACTCTTAAATCTGATTAATTAATTCAATTCTATTTGACAATTAAAAAAAAACAATTAGCTTGAAGTATTCTACGAATGTTGTCTATATCAGCTTGCATTAACAAGGATAATTCTACTAACTTGTATATTTATACAATTGTTTATTATTTTAGCTAATTTCTTCTCTACAGTTTTGGTATAAATTCTGGCAAGCATCATATTATATATCTGTAAAAGAATGTTATACAATTCTTTAAAAGGAAGTGGTAAATTTTTATCAGAAATATTGCAAATTATTATTGCGCTGTCTAACATATGTCTAACTCTAAATCGAGTTATATCACAAGAATATAATTCATAAATTCTCTTAAATTCTTCAAATTGTAAAAGGAACTGAGATATCATGATCCTACAAGGGTTTGTATGCAAATGATTCTTAGTTACAGTTATACACTCGTGTTGACTACCACTAGTATCAGTATCCTCAGCAAATGTATCTCTCTCATAAACTTCATTAACTAATGTCACTTTTTGTTTTCTCTGTTTTCTTGGATCTAACATTTTTCTTGCTTTTTGTACAGGTTTACTACTGTCATTATATCAAACTAACAAATCGAACATGTGATTGACTAGTGAATTATGAATGTTATTTGTAGTAAGTGAATTGATTTCTGATGATCTATTTCATCTCATATTATATGATCCTAGACTACACTCTGACTCACTCTCTTCTGTTGCTATCCAGACACTACCTTCACTATATAATTTATTAAGGTTAAATCCTTTGGTTTTATCATTACTAATCTCAAGACTCTTACTTTCTTCGGAGCTAATGCATTTATTATTCGATTCTTCACTTGAGACATTAAAATTTTCTATCTTTTGACTGCTTTTTACGACTCGAGGCTTTTTCGGTATAAAGTTATCCTGTAATGCTTTACTTCTTGTGGTATGGTTAGTTTGGGCTCTTTTGTATCTTGACCTATTCTGTTCTTTAGATTTTCATTGAAATCACTCTTTGAGATACAAGCTTGCTTGGAAGAATTATTATCAAGCTTAGTCTCCCTAAATAATGGTAATTTTTTATTCTGATTTCTCATTTTATTATTTAACAGATTTTCTGATTCTTTATCTAATATCATAAGGTCTTTCTCTAGGCTCAACGTTTCATCATAGCTTTCGTCAAGGGGCTGGAATTCACTGAAAGAGTTGTTAACCTTCTTAACTCTTAAAAACTCATCCATCTTTAATTCGCTAAACGGACCAAGAGTCTTGTTTGCACGTAAGTCAGGGTCTTTATCAATGTAATTTTCTTTGAAACTTGTACTTTGGCAATTATTCATTGTTAATCCACAACTTTCTTGAGGATCCAAGTCATTGGCTATTCTCTCTGATTGTGCTTCTGTTAACAATTCTACAGTTTTATTAAAAAATAAATTTAAATTAATTGTCTGATTTTTATTCAGCTTCAATATTATACTGATGTCCTTATTTTCTTTTATAGGTTCATCAATTTCTACAACTAATTTTTGATTTTCAGTTATAGGCGGTTTTTCATCATGATCTTCTATTTGGTTTCGAATAGGAAATTCCTGTGACAATACTGTTGTCATGAGGTAAGCATCATCACTCTTGACTTTCTCTAAATTATTTTTATCCTGTTCTGATATATTTTTATTAACTAAAACTTTCTTTACAAGATCTTGCGGACTTTCTGAATTATCATTGATGTACGATTCCTGTGATTCTCAAAAACAATCAGATTGGATAAGATAATTGTACTGTTCTTTAAACTCTTCTTTATTGTCATTATCATGTTTTAACAGTATTTTATTAATCTTCTCTTCTATAGGTTTGCTTATAACTTCAAATTCAGCGATCATTTTTTCATCAAAGGACTCTATTACAGTTGATCCTTCTAACAGCACATTCATTATATGATCAGTATCTATTTTCTTTACATTATCATCATTGTCTTTCTTTATATT